CCCAACATCTGGTACAAGCTGGTGCTGTCCGTAGTATCGCCCTGATCGTGATATCGCTGCGGCGGACGCTGCTTGGCAGCTTGTGGCATCAGACTGTTGAAGAATCACCCCCATCGTGTTCTAAGCAGAATGGGCGGAGAGCAAACTGTTTCATTTCAGCACGGTGGACCATTGATGCCTGCAGTAGATCCCCTGTTATCTAATCAAACAGCACTGGTCAGTTATGATGCCAACTCCTAAATCCACAGCCGTCTGTAAAGCCGTAGGGGGAGATTAACCGCTACAGCGCCAATGTCCTACATTCAAAGACTTCCTCTTAAGATCTCTTTTTCTGGAAAGTACAGTTATCCATACAAGCAAACACAGACAGACACACACAGACATACAGCCTAAAGTAAGAGTCCTTCATGCTGTAATGGGGCTATCACAAAGACCACACAGCTTGCATTTTGGAAGAAGACTTGATGCTTTCTAAACCCTCTTTGTCTGCGACCACTAGAATATCTCGAAGAGGCTTGAGCTGTTGTGGAGCATTGGAGAATGTGTTGTTTTGCCATGTAGGTGCTACCTCGTGTCTAAGATCCCCCATGAGTAGAAGACAATAAGAACTTACAAAGAAAAGTGGTCCAAGACATTTATCCTTTCGCTCTTGCAGTCTGCCGGAGCCCTAATAAGAACACGTTTTTCTACGTTTACCCTGTTATGTAGGTGCACTTCATTATAACCCAATAAGCAGAAGCTCTCACATATAGCCACCAAAGAGCTCTGGGCACTTTTTTAATATTTATATCACAGCCTGGTGTGGCAGTAATGATATTAGGGAGCTGACGAAATTCTCCACCCAGCTGGACATGTTAATTGAGAAGCTACGATTTAAAGGCAAAGTTCACATTTGTGCAGATGGCGGGACAATGCAAGATGGCAAACCTAGGTCAGTGTCATTTTCAAGCTATACCTTAATGGCAGCAATTTTTTTTCTCTCGCTCCTTTTTTTCCTCAAGTTTGACACATACTAGTCCCCGAGGTCCATAGCAGTCTTTGGGGCTGGTCCCTGTACCTTAGTGCCCTTGACGGTGGACTATATTTTACAGTTGATATAATGGCAACATTCTCTGTCCCGCCTCCACTTTCAGGGTTAGTGAGTGCATGTGTGTGGCATGAAGATGTGAGAGAGGAAAAGGAGTATTAGAAAAATGACATGGTTATAATTTGAATTAAAGAAAGATCCTTTTTTTTCTTTTTCTTTTTTGAATGCACAAACGAATATATGAGTTGCATAAATGAACAAATAAGTTGGATTGAGCTTCTCATTTGTTATCAAAAACTGGTAATTGCTGTAGGTTACTGCTCTGGAGAACTGTACCTGAAAGTTATAGGACATTGTACAAATGTCAAATTAAACTATTATGTTCACCAGAGCCAACTGCCGTAGGGCCCAAGTTCACCTCCTGCAAATACATGCCTCCTCACTCAGGGACCTGTCCTTATAAGTAATATGCAGAAGTGTGGGGATAATGTGGCCATAAATCAATGGTATTTGTTTGATTTCAAACGACAATGTTAGATTTAGATTAGATTATCAAGGCTAATGCAATTCTAAAGTTATATTACACCAGTGTAAACAGTAAAATGATTACACTGCATGCAGGCATCAGTGAAAGTCACACTGCTGGGAAGTCTAACAGATGGGTTTATCCTCAGTGAGATGGATACTGTCGCACCACACATCTACATCAAATTAGAGTACCCACAGCGAGTCCTCCCCCCACTCTGACCATACACCGGAAAGCAGGTGTCTGCTTAATAATTTGGTCAAAGATCAGTGAGTTAAAGGTTGAGGCCAGGGGCAGAGAGGGCCGGGGTCATCCTGGTGGGTAGGGAGGTGGTGAGACATGATCTCCTCAAGTCTGGAACAGCCAAACCCCAAGGTCATCCATTAGTGCTCTGTCCCATTGGTGCGGGAAGACCCACAATAAATTTACTGTGCACCCTTAACCCTTTTAATACTCGCCATGACCCAGATGAGGAGATCAGCTCCCTTAGGGAGGGGCACATTACATTATTAGCACTGTGCATTCATCCATTGACAGCTATTATATTCTAACAGTGTATTATGGGTGACTTCATACTGTAAATGCTTCAACACAAATACGAGACAATAATGCGCAATACAATCATTCTTTTAACATTTTTGTTTAGCTGTGAGTTCAGTGTATTTTAATCAATGAAATTGCCTGAATAAGTCTGCCCTGAGTCATGTTATTAATAGCGCGAGTGAGATTGCATCTTTAATTTAAATTACTGCAAGTTATTTTAATATCTAGAGACCCTCCCCTGGCCATCTGTGATCAGTTTCAAACGTGCAGATGATAGTGTCCGTGTCTTGCCAAATTTTTAGAGAACATCTCAGTTATGACTGATCATTATCTGCTCTTTCAAACAATGAGCAACTTATCTACCTTTTTAATGCGATGCATTTTTCTATTCTTACAAGAAAAGGTGAGGCTGCAAGGAAGAAGGAGAATGAAATGTCAACAGTGTCAACCACTCGCTTTAAATAGGACTCTCCTATGATCCCTTGCTACCATGCTCGGTCAAACCTTTCCAGGTGTCAAGACTGGGCGTCAGTAAAAGAAATTAAAGTGACATAGTGTTGACAGGAAGAAAAGACATTCCAGTTTTCACCCCTCTCAGGACAATGAGGGAGCCATCACCTCGGCTCAGACACAGGCACTAATGAATCAAGCAACACCTTAAGTTCTGCAGTACAGGGGACTTTTGGCCGGGGGGCACCCATATAGTGTCATTGATAATGGGATCCTGTATTGGACTGCTGTTGATTTGATGTCTACCACAACCTCTCCCATGGCCTGCCATTTTGACACAGCTTAATTTTGCTCCTTGCTCATGAAGACATCCTGTTAGATGGTGTTGCACAAGTGTTAGGTCTCCATCCTTCCTGGTTGTATCTCTTCTCTCAGAGCCTGAAGACCTGCAGTGTTTTATTATGCAAAGATCGCTTTGTTAAATATATATTACCCACAAGGCACATGGTAATAATGCAGGTGTGGGGGGGCAGCAGTGTGTTAAAGTAAGGTGAAGTTATTTGAGTTTACTATGTAGAATATACAGGGATGGAAAGCTTCCTTGAATATTTCACTAAAGTAAAAGTACTGTTTGTGTAAAAATGTACTTGGATAAAAAAAAGTAGGTCAGTTAAAATGTTCACTGAGTAAATGTTACTGCGTTACATTATCAGATTTTAAAAGGTGGTTATTAAGACAGAATTGTATACGATATATGAAAGAACAATTACATTTACAAAAAAAACTTCTTTAGGCTACAAAATATATTGCATTAACATTCAACATATGGCGGCTGGTGGTAGTACATCACACCACAAGGGCCTGACGTCCAAACCAACAATACATTATTTTCTGTCTGAACCCGGGATCTGAGCCTCGTGCACTACAAAGTCCTCCACAAACTGCTCTTAGGTTCAATCTCTCATTCATTCTCAATGCATAATATGACCAGTCCACTTCTCTGTCCCACTGTGCTTCTCAAATGTTTTCATGTTTTCAACATTTTGAGCTGATTGGCTGCTCTTCAGTTACAACTGTGACAGAGATTTTCACCTTGTTGACGGTAATTCCTTTGCCGAGATAGTTTACTTTAAACATGACCTACAATAATGTCCTTATTTTTATTGCATTGTTGGTGCATCTTTTGTACTGTTCACAAACTGCTAGGCCTGGCCCAAATGCACCCTTTGCACCCACCCCACTCTGTTAGTGCGCATACACATTCAACATGTATCTTTTAAAGAAGCGTCACCTCTCCGGACATGGAGCGCTGTCCTCCTGCAGCTGCAGATACACCAGCAGCTTCTTTTCTGCTGCTGATTTGGCAACATTTTGTTTCTGTCTTACACGGTTTATCATGTCTTTCAAAAAAATACTTGAGTAAAAGCAAAATTACAGATTTTTTTTAAAAAGTAGACGCACACTCGTACAAAAAACAACTTTTTTTTACAGTAACAAGAATACATTTACTTTGTTACTCCCACTCCTGCGAATACAAGTTTAACAGTACGCAAAGTGATTCACTGTGTACAGTTTTGTGGTCAACATTTGGTGTGTTTTTTTGTACATTTTACATTCTCACAGTTTTCCTCCAAACCACAGCTTCTTGTTCAGAACTGTTGTTTAAATGCTTTTAAACAGCGTATTTCTACGATATGGGAGACTTTTCAAACTCTGGCTTCTCACTTGCCTTCACACATGATGCTAGCTGGTTTATCCTGTCAGCTATTCTGACTAGCGTTGGTGTAGTTACTGTGAGATGCAACAACCTTTGGAACTTGGAATGTGGAACGTTTGTATAATGATGATCTGCATGTTACAAGATGAAGACTGCAATTGAACTCTTTTACACTAATAGTGCTTTGAATGATTTGGTTTATAGCCTGTATTAAATGGAAAAAAAGTTGTTTACTGAAAGAACTTCCCATACTAAACTGTTTAGGACGAATATGAGTCATTATTTGTTGTGGAACATTTTATGTATGAGTACAGATTATTTATTTGTTGGCAATAATATAAATAATTGTCAGGAAGTGGTAGTAGTGGTATTAAGGGGACAATGATTTTAGATGTTATTAGACAAATTTATTTTTGGAGGTAACAGAAGACTACCAATATTATTGTAAATAAATTAGTGTTCCCCATGACAGGGTGTCAGTTCAACTGAATTTCAGGTTATCAGAAGTTGTTCCTTGACAGTAGTTCATGTTTTCTTGATTAGATGAAGTGTTGGATATGAATACTGTGCGTGCATGAGCAGCATTACAGTACATCAGAGAATTGTCACTGGATAAAAAAGATGACTTTCTCACTCTCAGTAGATTTTCTGTATGTCCACCTTCCCTTACATGCCTCCACTTTTCCTTCTTAAGCTACCTTTCTCCCCCCCCCCCCCCCCCCCCAACAGACAAACACCACTCACCCCCAACATCCCCCCGCGTGCAAGGCTGGTGGCTCCATTGTGTGACCTGTTCTCACACTGTTCCATCTCCACATCACGCAGCCAGCCTTTCACAGCAGCAATTCAGCAGCAACAATCACACACTCACGCCTCAAAAAAAGACCTCTTGCTCCCTTTGCCAACCAATTAAGAGCCATCTGGGCTTGGATGCAGTAAGAAAGCTCCTACAAAATCACAACTGTTTTCATATTTTCACGATAAGTTTTCAATGTGGAGACTCAAGTGTAAAAAAATAAACAACAAAGCTTTGTTTCCATGATACGTCTTTGCTTTCTGGAAAATAAATTATTGTTAATATTTCGTCAATTTGCACAGAGCCAGTGGAGGGCACAACGCAGTTTAAAAACATGACAGAGCAAGTCATTGCTTTTGAAGCTGCCATGCAAGTGTGTGATTCCCGATGAACTTGAGGTCATAGATTCCCAGTGGCTGCGTAGGGCAGGGAATGGAGAGCAGCAGGGTTCAAGCCTTGGGTCACTGGAGCTTCAGAAGTGGCCAGCCAGCTTTGTCCCAGGAGGGATGATGGTGACGGATTCACTGGTGTTTTCTCAAGGTCCACTGAACCCTACAGCAAAGACTCCAACTTAGAGCCTGCAGAAAGAGGGAGCACTCCTCTCATCTCCAGTTCACAGAACTCCAAAAGAGGGGCCGTCTGGACGGACTCCAGGATGCCTCGAGATACACGAAATCCAGCCGCAACCTCACGGTGGCACTGCCAAACCTCATTTCAATCTTTTCCTCCATGTATAATCTGCAGTACACATTAGGCCTCTGACATGCACCGTAATGGTTCATTTCCCCATTGTAGGGAAGTGTTGAACCACTGTGTTGTCAAGTAGGCTTTATAAGGCAAAAAGATATGAATAGAAACTCCACCCTGTCTTTTTTCTTTTCAATCTAACTAAGTTAAAAGGCTTACTTACCCCTAATCAAAATGGCAAGCCCACTGGCATGGTATGTCCCAGCTGTGGTCCTGGCGCAGCATTTCCCTTCTCCCCGTACATTGTTCTGGGCAGCACATCCAAGAGCTCTTGCTGTGTTATGTACTTAACTGAGGTCAGAGTTGTCATTATCTGGGTCTTGTTGGCACTAAGGCCTCCTCTGATGATGGGACTCCTTTCAGACCTTCAGCTTTTAGCACTCCTAAGAGCTAACCTCTGTGAAGACCAGGCAATCGACCACCTGCAAATCTAGCCCAGGGCTTGGACTGTGTTTAAATGAGTATGCTTTATGACATCCTGTCACATGTGTGCTGTTTGCCCTGACCTGGTGTAAGTTTAGCACAGATGCTCCAAGATTTACCTCTGATCTTTTTTTTTTTGCGGGGGATTAGTAAAGTTTATATGTACAGACAGGAGACTTATGTTCAGTCGTTAATTAGGTGGCCCAAAATGACTGCAGGGCACAGCCCTGCCATCCAAAAACGAATCAAAATCTAGTGCCTGGATTGAACCTCCATGACAAACTCAGAATACATTGCAGGTGTATTGTCTTTCGTTTTTTCTTCTATCGAATCAACATTTTAAAGCTTGCTCAACATACATATTGTGGAATTGATCTATAGAAGCATTTTGGCATGGATTGAGGGAAGAACACAACAGGAGATGAGTGTTTGAGGAGGCTTGGGTTTTATTTCCTGATCTAAGCACTGCCGTAGCCATTCTAGCAACACTTCCTCATTCATGTCAGCCCCATGGTGTTACTCTGTTAGGACTTATTTTTCAGAATGTACTGCATTTTGAAAAGATTCATCTCCCCCATGCCTCTCTTGTTCTTTCATTATCTTGCTCTCCCTCTCTGTTTCTCTCTGTCTTACAAACACACACACAGCAACATGCATACAACCAGACCACTCCTCTTAAAACCGGTTCTCATCCCAATAGCAATTTTGTCAGAAGTTGACAATGTCTTGATTTAGTTGTCTGGCTGTTCCGGCCAGTTTTCCCTGCTGCGCTAATGTGAACAGGACATCCTGCTGGGCACCAAAGAATACCACTTCACGGCAGCCGCGTAGCTGGCAGCTTTTATTTGTGGTGCTACCGAAATGAATGGGTATTAGTGTCCAAACATTTCACCATGCTCCTGCAGCCACACACAAAAGCCACTGATTTCCAGCAAATCTGCACTTATTTTATTCAAGAAGACCAAAGCTAGGGAGAGGGAGAGAGAGACAGACAGAGAGAGAAAACATTTATAATGACTTAAAAGACCTCAAAAGAAGAATAGGAATTTCATTTGAAAAGGATTTACCAGACAGAAATCGAAAAGAAAAAAATGCTCCCTCCATTTCATTGCATTTTTGTCAGAGTTGAAAATGGAAAATATCTTTATCCCTAAAATTACTCAACTTAAGTGCTTATATTCACAGAAACTGCACTTCCTTCACAATCACCCAGTTGCTCTGTTTTGTCTGTCAGTACAAAGCATTGTATTTTATAGGACTGTACCAGGAAGGAAATAGTAATTTTATCATTGCTAAAATTGTTGATTTAAAGTGTCTTCAAAAAAATCACTCTTGCTGCCATTTTGCAATCCAGGCTGCCTACTGTCTTGTTAACCTATGAATTTTAAGTGGACTGTTCCCATTAGATAGCAGTAGTACTGCTGACTCCTCTTGGCTTTTCTGTAGGGAGCAGGCTGAGGCAGAGTACTCTCCTGGCCCGGCGCTGCACTTTGCCTGGTTTCTGTGTCCAGGACCTCATCAGCACAGAGTCCGCCTGTCCTCGTGTCCCTGCCACTCACCTCCCTGCTCTTCATCTGTCATTCCTGCCCTTCTGCAAACACACTCCACTGACATTTTGAAAAACTCTGGCATTCACCCTCAATATGGATCTTTGTTGATTATAGCTTTCTGTCTGTGAAGATTGCACGTATTATTGACTTTGCAATCCCATGACTATTTGCACAGCTTTTTCCTCCTCTCTGCATCTCGGTGAAGTCCAGCAATAATATTCCCCCTGGTTTCTCATAACCTCTTTTCATTATCCTTTCTTTTTTCATATTTTTCTTTTTTTCTCCATATATTTTACTAATCCCCTCTGGCTGTGACCCTTTCTTTATGCCACCAGAGATCAGAGTTTCTGCAAAGCTTCGGTCACTGATGTCGTTAAGATTGGGATCTGATACACTAGATGTCCATTGGTTAAATGCCCCTGGCCTGAACTCCCTATTGTCCCCTAATTCCAAGCGGCAGCTCTGTTTCACTTGCTGCATAATAGCCCATAGGTTAAAGTTCTGCTGCTTTTGCTTTGAATTTACATCTTTCACAGGCTCCAGTCTCTTGTTCTAAGCTGGCGTTTTCTTTTTTTTTGCCTTCTTTCATTTCTAGTGAGCCTCATTGCCTGCAGGCAGCTCGGCTGTTTGTGCCGTAGCTTTCCTGACAATCTCCCACATCCAGGCATCTTTGGGAGGGTCAGAGGAGAGCAACTTGACTTAACAGGTCAAAGTAAGTGGGCTCCGCCCTTCTCCAGAGGGGGAGCCATGGAGCCCTCCATTAGGAGCTGACCTCCACGTTGCTGTGGTCTGGCCCTAGCCATGGAATCACATGGCTCTGCCTGAGACAGGCTGCTCATTAAAGCCCGCTGCCCATAGCAGGATTAGGACTTTTCATGGTTTATCCTCGACTCTGACAACTGACAATGGGCGAGGATAGCTGCTTCAAATGGAGTGTGCATATGAATCATGGAATTATAATTGCTCTTTCATGATGAGAATATTGGAAAATCTATCCACATCCACAATGCAAAGAATTAATTGGGGTCTGTTTTCAAGGGCACATTGTTACACTATATGAGCCCAAGAAAACGGGCAGGGTGGTAATGAGGCATTCTCAATACAGCACAGCATCTTTTTCACAGTACCTGTACACAGGCTGCTGTTTGCACACACACACACACACACACACACACACACACACACACACACTTGAATATCTTCTGACTGTAACCTTTACCCGTCATGATACTTTTACTCCCAAGTTTCACTGCGCTTAATACACAATGGAGTGCCCCTGTTTACTTGTGTTGTGATGTTTTCAAAGAGCAACCCCATTAACAGTGGTGGCCCATTCCCCATGACCCAGTGGTAGCTACCTAAGGGCGTGCGGGTTACGGAGGGCCGTAGCTTGGGCTCTGAGTAGGAAACTAAGATGACACTACCTCTTGAGCTGTGTGGGAGGGAGAGAGCTGGTAATAGCGAGGCAACAGAACCGCTATCTGCAGCACCAAGCCCCAGTCATGCTTCTTATTTACACCACAACTCTGTCTGTTTTCATTATTCATATTTCATGTGGTATCATGGCATGAAAGAGTTATTTCCTTGATGGCAGAGGGCAGGTTACAGCTAGCTCTCAGGCCGCACGGCTCAGAACGGCTCAGAACAAGAGGGTGGCTTTTCTGGGTTCAAAGCATCAAAACAGCCTGCAGAAATAGAAAAGAAACATTTCCCCTGAGACGGAATGCCCAATCCTCTTTAGTTATCCAGAACATGTGGCTTTACATAAATCAGTCTAAAAATCTGAAGGTAAAATTGTCTTCCAAATCCTTGCTTATAACTGTGGATTGAAGTAAAACAATGAATTCAAATTATTACCCAATTAAAAGTGTGAACAACACCATCATCATTTACATATGTAATGAAGCTTTTTCACACTCATCTGTAGTAAATACAATGTGATATGGTCCAGGTATATTTAAAAGGTGTTAATGAGCTGCTGGTTTAATACTCTTTTATATTTCAAATTATTTCGCTATCAATAACCACATGTCATTTTTAGAAAAAGCATGCATGTTTAAGTTTTTGTTTAGTTTACATTTCTTTCTCGAATTTTGGAGAAAAAAAATGGTTTCCGACACTAAGTGGCGGATGTGCTCTCACACCATGTATAAATAAATAAATCACATGAGTAGATTTCTTTTTACAGTATTTAACTGATTTAAAATTGAAAGAAAAATCATATTTGACCTGTTTGGCCAAGACTCAATATTATTCATTTTAATTTTAATGACCACATAATAAACAGGAAAAAACTTGTAGAAAATGAATTTAGTTTTGTGAGCAACAGAGACATTCTTTTGGAGTGCTATCAAAAACAGAAAGAGGCCAGAGAAAAGAAGAACTGAAAGTCTGTTAGCAACGCAATTAAACTCTGGTAATGAGGTCAGACATCAGATCCAGTGCAAGTGATATCATTACGCAGGCTGAACGGAACGGGCCGGGCCGCTCCAGCTGCCATGGTCTTGCTGTGGGATTAGACTCAACTGTCCTGAGTGCTGCACTTTTACTAGGCTGACCCCTGCCTGCCACTGGGGCACCAGCCACCCCCTGGGCTCCTGGGGGGCTTTGGACCCCAGTCCTGGTGCCTGTGGCACCAACAGGACTGCGGAGAAGTGAACTGTGCTGCCACGTGGGATGACAGGACTCGCCACTCCATTAGAAAGCACAGAGACAGACAGGCACCAGCACACAATCCACCCTGTGTTGACAACTACAAATTACTGGGTTCCTCTACTTCAGTCAGCTCATTTGTAAAAAAACAACGAACAATGACTAGGTGATAAAAGGACATTGTATCAGTGATTAGAGTGCTGCGTTTGAACCTGTTGATGATTAAGATTTGGCTCACAAATATAACAACTTTATGCTGTTTTTTTTGAGAAGGAATCCTTTTTGTTTAGTTAAATTTGTGGTACATACTTGCAAACGAGATTGAAATAATGAAACATACAGATTGTTAGCAGTCTAATTTTCCTTCCCTATTGTTTAGAGCCTCGTTTGCAAAGTCCCTCGCAGGAGTCGGCTTAATTTGTCTTTTCTTATTTGGTCTGCTTGTGTGTTTCGTGCTGTTCTCTTTTTGTCTCCCATGATTACTTTGAGGATATCGTTATGACATTCAGCAGCAACAATAATTCTTCTGTTCTAATTCATATCAATTAGTAGGGGATGGTAATTCAAACTGACGGCACAGTGCATCTTGAAAGGCTTGCGAGGATGTTGTGGCGGCAGCATCCCTGTGCAGCCAAAAGCCACCCTCCTTTCCCCTTTCTTCCCCCTTTCTGTCTTTCAGTCCACAACAAGGGCCTCCAAGCAAAGAGGACAATACAAGTCGGAGCCAGTACTTTGATAATTAGTTATTGATTGAGAACAATGGCATGGCGTACACTGTCGTATTAGCTAGACGCCAGTAGGTCGCGACACCGAGAGCAGCCATCAAGAAACGAGGGCCAAAACATGCCTGACTCCCCTAATAAGATATTCCTTCATGTTTTTCTCTTTCATTTCACTCCTCTTTTTCCTTCCTCAGGCATGTTAGTGTTCAGGCTACATGGGGTCAAAAGTATTAATGCTCGTGCACAAACGAGCCTCTGATGAAGGAGAATTTAATTAGAGAATGCCCACTCAGGCTTCTCATACCACGTTGCCCTGTTTTTTCTTTATTTTGTCTTTCTTTGTACGACAGTGTCCAGAAATATATATATATTTGAAACATTGTGAATTTTCTGGCACTGCTAGTATTGTTTTCATAACATACAGGAATAGTGATTGCCAAATGAAACACTCATACAAATAATGTGAAGCAGTGTTGTATATCAAAGACCACATATTCCTGCGTGAATTATATTTCATGGCAAGAGTCTGTCGGATTGGTGTAAACTTGGCCAGCATTTAAATAGAAAAATTAAACACTATCTGGCTATTATTTTACACACGTGATTGACCCGAACTGTACGTATCACATTCTATCTGACAATATGGTTGTCTAGAGTAAAAAGCACACATATTGATGTTTACGGTGGCTGATGCACGTCAGAGATGGTGTCATTCAGTGAAAGTTTGGCTTTCAACCAAGCTGTGTTTACATATAATAGAATATCCTGAAATAATTGGTAGGTCTCCTTGCTAAAGAGGGATGTGTCAGGTTCGGTATTATTGTGAAAGAAGCTCCCTAACTCGCTTCACCTGATCCGTGGCCTGTAAAGATGCACCTGGCATTAAACAGACAGGGCAGGAGCATCAACTGAACAATGGAGGACTGTCAGGACCGACAGCAGGGCACGGCTCTGCCATCACTGCTCTGACAGGGAGGGCCTCAGAGGGTAAACTGCTTTGCTGGAACTAATTAAACAGATGAAGTTATGACATGAATATGCAGATGTTGTTTACATTTTACCATATGGTATTATTTCAGGTATTAAAGCACAGGAGAGCCTTCCCACTCATTAATGTGAAGGGATGGAGTGAAAACACCGTCTATCAAGAGACACTCTGAGCGTGTTTCGAGAGATATGATCAGACTGACACTCGGGTGTTGAAATCTATTTCAAGCCACCCAATTAACATACATGTTGATAGCTATTACATTTTGATTTAAATCATTGGTGTAATGGATGTTGGATAAGCTATTCCTCATTGAAAGTAGAATTTATTCTTCAAATTTATACCTACATTTAAAGTGTAAATTTAATTATCACAACATTTAGCAGTCTATGACATTATTTTACTCCACAGCCTCCTATTTGCATTTTACTTCGATAGAGTTGTACAGTTCAATCATTTTTCAGAGCTGCTATATGTCTTTAGGTTCCTGCTCAGAGATGCCTCAGTACAACTGCCACAAAGCCAGTTTAATTCTCAATACGCAACCTGCATTTAACTCAACTTCTCAATTTTTTTCTGTTTTTGCAAAGTATTAAAAGAAGTAGAACTGTCTGAGTTCTTTTCCCCCCAGTTTTGTGTGCAGCCTTACCATTCCCCGGGAGCGGGTGCTGAGAGGTTAAGAGGAAAAGGGCCGATGGAGTCGCGTTTAGTAAGAAGTGTGGGATCACGGGGGCCAGCTGGTGGGGTGATGGGGAGCGTAATTGTGCCCGCTGTGTGGATAGGGTGGGGGGTGAAAGGATGGGGTGAGAAGCCCTGGAAAAAAAGGGAGGGGAGGGGACACCTCAATTACCTGTGCTCCCTCTGACCCCTCTCTCCCTCTGTCTCTCCATGGACAGACACACTGTCTGAGAGGCGGGGCGCGTTTCCACAGGCAGATGCACATCCCCCTCCTTTGTTCAAGATAGCATTCGCTTCTTTTTCCTGAACTGCAGAAACTTAATTGCAACAACCTCCCCTCTAATGCGTTTCTCCTTTATTTGTCACTGTCAAAAAATGTGAATTTTCACTTTAAAAGAAAAAAAAAAATCAAAACATTTTTCTGTTATGTATTCATGTTTGATCACGGAACTTGGTCAGGCGATATTTGATTAAAGATGTACAACAAAATAAAAAACACATTTACCTGAACTGAGCAGTTCGCTCAAACATATTCAGCAGGTTACATGCAGCTGTCATAGTTTATTTTGGAGCTCCTGCTTGGGCTGATACAGTAAGTGACAGAGACTGGTGTAAAATCAATACTTCACAGGAGTGTGATGTCTTAATAAACTCTCTGTGTTGTTCAGACAGGAAAGCTAGACATGTACGAGAAGGACTACAGCGCAGGCCATTGTGAAGCTGTCAAGTCTAGCCCTCAAAAGCAGATGAAGCTGTCAGATTATTAATATATTTATACTGACAGGCCCCAAGTCCACCCCTAAAACCCTCCCCTCTTTCAATGTCTCTCAAAAAATATGCTCAGCTTCAAAGACAGAGGCCACAGGGTTGGATGCAAGGTCAAAGGCCAAATACATTTTGAAAGCAAATTCTCTTCCTTTTGCAACCTGTTTTTATTGCTGTCGCTCCCCTTCTCTGTGGCGACCATTCAGCTGAAACTTAGGCTGAATTGGCAGCAGCTTTCAAAGCGCTTGGCAGCCTGGTGATCCTCAGGAGCTCTCAGCTGACATCTCTCTGGGCTTGTCTATGCTCAGGGGTCAGCCCGAGCCCTGACTCCCAGGACCCACTCACTCAGGCGCTACCATGAGTCAGTCCCGCAGACTGAAATTAAAATGTGAAAAGCGGTGCGACTGAAGGCATTCCTCGCCCCCCATGGCATTCTCCTTTCTCTGTGACAGTTCCTCTGAGACTGCTTTTTCTTTCATGTTTCTTTTTTCCCTTTAGATTATTTAACAACATGCGAACAGAGCTGTCAAGGAGAGACATGCTTGATCGACAGAGCAAGGGAGTGTCTTAGTCAACACGGGGTTAAATTCGATTTTCTGCATGTTCAGTACGCTAGTCTCAAGCCAGTTATTGCCTTAGCTTGATGTTTTTTGATGGATCAATTATCCATTATAACATGTTGCGAAGCCAAACATAACGGCAACTATGACACCTGTCACAATCTTCTATTAGGGTACGGAAATTGAAATAATTTAATGACAGCTAATTTAGTCTTTGTTTTGAATCTCATTATGGCCGCAGTAATTGTGTTCTATAAAAAAACCGAAAGTGTATGACTGCACACTCAAAGTAAAGTCCCCAGACTAGAGCTATTAATTTGATATCTCTCAATGAAAACAGAAGATAAATAATGAATACTTTTTTGCTTTATCAGATTCAGACAAACACAAGTTTGAAAAGACGATGAGATCTTGGAGATTTTTTTTCTACTTTAATGCCCAGTTTAGATTAAGCTAAAGTCTGAGATAACGCTGCGGAAAACAGGCAAGAAAACCACAACAAAGCCTCAATATTAAACAGTTATACAAAGCAGTGCTGTTAGTGAACATATGGAATCATTTAGGAATCAACAAAAAATGTTGAAGGAATATTTTGTTATCTTTAAAAAATATACATAAACGTTCTGGCTAACATAAAATACAACAGTACAGTTTGTCTGATGCCGAGACGGTTTCGAACCCGCCCAACAGTCTGAAATGCTGATGAGAATTTACAATTATCTCCACATCATATTTAGCTCCTCACCCCGTAATAAGTAAATATTACTTCAGATAGGGACAAAAGCGCAGCTAGCTGAATAGATGTGATATGCTTGTCAATAACACGTATGTGAGAAAGCTGCGTGGGAGCGTCTTATCGGTACATGTGTGCATATACTTGAATTTGCAAGTAAAGAGCCTTATTGGGATTACCCACGGTACATTCTAGTTGGTATCATAAAGAGAATAAGGGACTAGATGTGTCTCCCTTTTTTTTCAGGGATTCGGTAAGCTCTCTGTCAATGGTTTGGAGTTGAATTGCCCCGGATAGCTCCCCTCATTCCATGGAATGATCTCAGACCTAATTTACTGGGCAGCTCAGGATCCAAAGCATACAAGGCTCTCCTCTGCATAGAATGTGTGAAATAGATAGAGCAGCCATCCCTCAGATGTGCTGAAGTAATCTTCAGCCAGAGCTGGTCCAGCAGGCCTCACCCCTAAAGGGATTGATGCAGTGTCAAAACCTTTGGCTCAGGGGTCATCCTCTCTTCTTGCCTCTCCAATCTCGACAAAAGCTGAATTTCTTTCCCTCACTATTCGTTTCTCTTTTTTCTTCTATTGAATTCATCAGCGAGGGAGGCATGAGATGTGAGATGTGAATGAAACATTTTCATTAGAAGGGAGGAGAATCCCCGGTCAGAGACAAGGCCGGAGCTGATCTGAGCCAATGACATCCCCACCAATTCTTTCCTTTTTTTTTTTTTTGTCCTTCTTACTTTACCCAGCTGTCATTCTCTGCGGTATGTGGCAAGCTGATTGAAATCAGCACTGTGTCAGGGCCATCATATCTCAGGGAGACATAAAACATGCAGAAACATCAATAAGCAACAGGCCGCTGACAGCTTTCAGGCACCGATGGTGGCGAGGAGAGATGAGGGGAAGGTTAGGACTCTGGGGGGATGCTGTGCAGTTGAAGTGTCTTCTTCAGGCTTCACTGAGACCCAGGGAAGACAAGATAAAGTCTATCAGGTTATCGCCTAGTTCAAGTTGCTTCTCGGACAGCAAGGCCACTGGGACACTGGATGTCAGAAGATCTGTGCGTGCGTGTGCAAGCTTATGTGTGTGCTTCTGTGGGTCTGTGTGTGTGCTTGTGCAGGTGTATGGTAATAGGGGGAAAGAACAGAGAGAGAGACGTTGCTTCTAACTATAAATCTAGTGCACTGCCATTTCATTTTTCACTGCATGATGAGCATTGTGTCGTTCACTAAATGTAATTTATGTGCTCAAGCTGTCAAATGAATATTTAGAATTATATTTCTTGGTATTTGTATTTGCAAAATACCTCAAACATATGTTCCACGACAAACATTGCAAATCGGCCATTTTTGTCATATGTGCTGGTGAAGTAAGATTGATAATGCACTAGTTATACCTGGTAGCGAGGGCCAAGAGATGCTTTGGGATTTTCAATGTGTATTTAATTCACTAATGGGAGGTAAAGGTGATAGTCTGTTAGATCGCAGCCTGACACTGCCTCTTACCACTGCTAATTAGGCAAGTTTTTTGCCCAGAAGAAACTGCTGAATCTGTCGTTTCTCATGCCTGATAATGGTCGTCACGGTGCCCTAACCTACCTGTTTGGAATTATGATACGGCACAAATAATCAGCTTTACAGGATCCTGACTTTGATGGGGTATATTCACCAGTAATTAGGACGACATAGAAGTCTATGAAGGGAGCTGAGTTTTGGCTGAAGTGGAAGTTTCCCCAAAGTTGAAGCCTATTATTTTTGTGTTGATGGGTTAACGCTGTGGACAGGCGCCCATCTACATATCAAATGTGACTCCCATTATTTTATTATTTTAGTTTCTCTCTGCTAACGGCGCCTCCCGGCACTCCTCCATGTTCTCCTCCATCTGCCTCCTGTCCATTGATCAGCCTTCCGGGGCATCAGTCTGTTTAACATCTGCTACAAGTTCTAGCAGCTCAGGTAACTATCTAGCTGCTCTCCACTGCCTATTGATCTTCATGTCCACCTGCAGGAACATCTGTTTCAGCATGTCGTTTGTCAACGCAACCAGCTACCTTGTTTCACTTCACGTCTTGTCCACTTTCACTCACTCCCACAAAGAAAATGTCCTCCTAAATGCTTGTTAAATTGTCGTTTGCATTGTTCTAATAATGAATTTTAAATTAGTCACTCATAGTTATTATATCTTGGCAAATAGTGGGAGTAGTACTTGTACTGGGAAAATATTTTAATATTAAATAATTTAAAAATATTTGAATTTAAAGAAAAATATTAACTTCCCAGTACAAGTAAATACAGCTTTTTATTTTATTCAACAAAAATCTCAATAACGGTTTATTTTATTTACCAAGACTCAGTCTGTACATTTGGAGAACTAATCTACTGAAGCTATAAAGTTTAGTTAGTGCACTTAAAATATTTACTCTTTCTGCTGATTGTTTATATTATATTTGTATTGAATATAAATTGTTATTGTTTTGCATTATAAATCAAAATAATTGCAAATTATTAAATTAGCAGAAACCATTTAAAGAGGATGGCATGCACAAACTACATAACAAAATGATTTTCATAAAAAAGTTGTGCTGTTAAATATGCTGTAAATTAGATATTAAAATAGTTAAACAGTTTACAGTACACATTATTATTAGACAACAGACCACATTTTATTTATTGCTTTGAATATTATACTGGGCTGAAAGCGTGAGAGTCACGGGCTGGGGAGAGCTCGCATCGTTCTCTCCTTCACAGGCTTCCAGAGCTCGGAGGAGCTGCTGCTGCACGGTTTAATTTGCTCTTTTGTAATGATGGGGCGTAGGTTAGTTAATTTCAATTTTTGATTTCAAAAGCTATCAAATACAGCTCAGATGAGAAATCAATTTTCCCAGCTGCCCTGGCTTTGTGGTGAAAAGAGCTCCCGCCATTGGTGCACAGCCCGTCACATGACCGAGTCAGGGATTAGTTCAGTAGGCCCATGTTGCCACCAGCTCAATTACATGCTGCCTCTTGTCATTTACCTCTATAACATCTCACTCTCAGACACAACTCATATTTAATTCATGAAAGCCTGCACATGAGTAATTGTAATATAGATTGTTGTAGAAAATTTGACCAAATTTAGACCGCAACTTTTAGTTTTGCATGTCAATGTCAGTGATTGTGTCATTTGCTGTAATTTGGGATAAACAAAGATGGAACAGTGAGTTTCCAGTGTTGGTCTGATAAAGTCCAAATAGTATAAAAAATGTACTAAAAAAGTATATCATTTAAAAACTGTGCAACTCCATGAAAAGGAAGATGTAGATATTTTTTTTTCAACAAATAATACATTAAAGAAAAGGACCATGATGATTTTAATTTGAAAGGTAGTGACGATCATCAACGGCATCATTAGAACTGTCATGTGATCAGCCGTCTGAAAAGGTTAGTTGGCAATGCCACTGACAATAACCACTCACCTAAATAATAATGTTCCGTTTTTGTGTAAAAGTCCCTTTGCTCCATAGTTCCCTATAACCTATCGTGTGTTAATAAATCAAATGTAAAAAGGATACCTCTTTGTTTAAGCCATAGACTTCACAATACAAACAGATCTGTGTGCTGAATGAGCACAATAGAAAATATCTTCCCTCAAATAAACAACTACATTTTGACACTGTAAAAACCTCAAAGAATTTTGGCCATGTGTGCGAGCATATTTTACATTGTTATGAAGACTTTGGTTTGGAGATTTGAATCCATTCCAACATTTCCTCGTGTCAAACGAACCCTCTTTTCCTTTTGCACACCACGAATTGACAATTTGTTAAGTAATCAAAGAATCTCCTTTTTTTTTCATATGGATCAGTTCGTGACACAAAAAAGTAGAGCAGAGGCAATGTCTGGACATATCGTGAGATTATATCCGCTTGACAGTTGTGTTATTCTATGTGGTTTCCATGGCAACTGTTTGGGTGAGGCCTCCAATAAAACCAACCTCAGCTGTCATCTCTTCACCTAAAAGCTTTGTAATTGCTCTCATTTGCATACTACAATTAAGTGTGTTAGCTCACAGCAAGAACAATCAACCTCCACTAAAGACTGGGAATAGTATAATTATTATATCAGTGGATTTGTATAAAATATCACTGAAGAGCCTTTGTTTGACGTCGGCATTGCACTGGCTGGATTTACCACTTATTTTCATAAATATACATATTTCACAGACCGTGATCGATAACGCATAGGCATGCTGGTTAAAATGTTGTGATTACCATTTTCAATCAGAATTTTAATATCTCCTTATGATCACACAAAAATGGCAGCTTTATTCCAGAGATGATCATTTAGGTTCCTGTCTGTTGGTCAATACAGTAAAAGATATTTTCATCCATTTTTGATGGGAGGCTTTTTTGACTCAGTGGTGCACTTGACTAGCTAGAAACAGAATGATTTGCAGTAGTGGGAGACAGTTTGAACTGCTGATTGAATGGAAAGGTTATGTGCATTGAGCTCTAAGCATTGTTTCTCTTTCCCTCAGATGCGCAGAGGCTGTAATGAAGAGCTCTTGAACTCGCAGTCAGAGAAGCTGTGACAGGAGTTCAGAAGGATGCCTCTTTGGCTCAGCTGGACGTACGACACACACCAGAACACACTCAGGCGCACATACACCCAGAGACAGCAAGAGACAGCAACAAACAGCTAATACAGAAATCAAAATGAAGCTGTCACTCACACGTTGTTTCACAAATCACTAGCTTTTCATTTATAGTGTCCAATGTCCAATCTTTATACTGATATTGGAAAAATATCAAAAATCTATCTCTGCGCCTCTGTTCTTTTATTTTCTGTTTTCCTCAATAATATTTACTTTTGGGAACCGCTTTGACATGAACTTAGAGGTTACAAACTTAATATGATCATGGAGGCATAACTTTGAGTTTGTGAGTTATAAAAGCAGCCGTAGCCGAGCTATATTATCAAGCCTGTGATACTGCAGCACATCTTTGGGCAGGTACATTTTATTTGGAGTTTTTGCCTTCAGGCCCTGAATTGAAATGGAAGACCAAATAGCAAGTGCACCATTCCCAGCTCTCTGCAGCTTCCCAACACAAACTGGTCAAGCAGAAATGAGACCTGCATCAATTTTAATTTGTATTTATCCTGCTGATGACCCGCTCCTTTCACTCTGCCGTTGGAGGCACAAATTACACCCATCATACCTCGGATTCCAACGACCCACGGTGTGCTATCAGAAAATGAGCATGGTTATATACCACCGGCAGGTTCAAGGTGTCACAACACAATTATACAATCATGCAACCTGACGAGCTCTGACTGGTCGCCGTTGTATGACAACTAAGCTGGAGGGCCACGCTGTCTGTCACATCCAGGCGGGTAAGATAAGTTCACTGTGCCTCAGAGACTGCTTTGCTCTATCTAAATCAGTTAAATATCACACAGCTGCTGCAGTCTGCGGTGATTCTATTTTTTTGGGGGGAAGCATAAAGACCCAAATCTGAACTTATCTTTGACTTTTTACTCAGCACAGCAAATTGAGCCTGCTGAATTTGTAAAAAAAAAAAACATAAATCAAAGTGATATAACGTTGGCAGATAAAATTAAGTTGTCAATGAGGAAAGTTAAAAATCGTATACGTACTGCAGTGGTGTGCAGCAGCTCACTGTGACTTTCAATCAACCCTAATCCCTGTGTCTCATAAAACTTAGACCAAAAAAAATGAAGGGAAGCTCCCCTGCCTGGATCCCCAGTGTGATCTCAGTGTCAAGCCATTAGGCTGTGTGAAATGAGGTGCCACTCATGAGTTATAATGCTGCACATCTATAGATGCAATGGCAAAATATAGCCCTCCAATGCTCAGTCCTCTGTTGGAGTTGGGAAAATAATTCTGCTCTGATAGCGGTCCATCTCCCAATATCCCAATTCAAATTCACACAGATATGAAGAGGGCTGTTGGATAAATTCAAAATAATCCACTTCAGGATAGCTGTGAGATTAATGGGAAAATGTGTGCGTTTGCTGGTGTGTCTTTCTGCACGAGCAAAGGTATATGTGTGAGAATGCAGACTGATGAATACAATACATCAACACAACTTTTACATACTGCAGGATGATATTCCTAATAAGATTATCAACCTCAGCCATGAAAAGAAATGACACACGTATGAGAAAAATGACAGCGATGTTTGCTCTCAGAAGGATGAAAATGCCCAAACTATTCCTTTAGAGCCAACAGAGACGTTGGATATGAGCTTTCAGAAAATCTATTTATGGGGTACAGTACTTCATTGTATTCAGTTTGAAAGCACATCAACAGAAGACACACATCTCTTTAACCAGTTGTTACAGAATTGCAATAAATTAAACTTATACTGACTACTTCTATACTTGAAGGCACATAACAAAAGCATGCTAGCAGCAGTCTGATCTACTGAAATATTTACCCAGAGGTACTGTAGATGTAACAATGATAAGGAAATAAAGCTAATAAGTGTCACTTTGATATGACAACAAATTATACATGGTTCTATCAGATCTCATTTCCATTCCACAACACAGAGACAGAGAATACCCTGAAGCATGGCTGTTAATGGGAGCTTCTATCAGCCATCGTGGAAAGCCTGCCTCATTACTCACTCCAGCACAACTGTGCCCAGGGTGGTTGATTTCCCCAACGGACACTGGTTCACAGACCAGAGAGGCACTGCGAGGCATGTGACTTGTTTTTCAATGCGCAGGGCACAGATGCCGTCATGCTGCAAGTGTGTGAAATTGTTTTATCAGGAACTTAATTTAAGCAAAAAACATTTCTGAATTAAAGAGAATCCAAAATAATAGTTCAATTGTATGCCTTATTTTGTTTCTAACTTAGAATTGTTGGGTCAATAAATTTATATTTTATTCTTTTACGGGCTTCAGAAAATTGCCCTATGTAGCTATAACCAGCTACCACTCATCTTCGTTTTCATTATACGTCTGATGCTATGCAACCTGATTGTTATTCAGAGAGAGTTTTTCATTCGGGAGGACGCCAAATACTCACATAACCTTCTATCCCTTCCAACCTGTGCAATGAATATTTTAAAACCTTAATGTGTATTGGCCATCTGAATTTTTAGTCCGAGTCTTTTCTTTGTCCATATAATCTCAGGGACCCCTTTCCTACCATTGTGGTTGTAAGAATGCTGTCACTCTGGTTATTTTTCTTCACAATTTGCAATCACCGCTGCTCTCTGGTTTTACTCTCTCTACCCCTGGTTCTAGCTTCCCTGACAAAGTCAACAGGGGGCATCCCTCATCTGTCAAAGGCAAACATCAGAATACTTCTCCTGCTATTTTCTTCTTTTCTCGTTCCCTCTTTTTGTGCAGTCTCTCACGCTGCCTGTTAGAAATACTGTAGATCCTCAGTTCAGTGCAGATTATAAGATTATTAGTCGGGTTGCTTGGTGACCCTAATCAGCATAAGCAAGTAAGAGCAGTCAAAACATATAAGGGAGAAAGTCCTGAAGCTGACCCTCTGGTGACTCTCTCACCCAGAGGGGTTGCAGCAGCACTTGCTGTGTGTGTTTCAGTGCAATCTGTGGAGCAGATGGCTGGAGTCCTGGGCAGAGAGCAGCAGGTCTCAGCCTGCATGTCAGCAAGATGATGTGAGCTAGCTCCCTCCGAGCTTTAGTTAATACCTTCCTGTATCACAGACTTGTTAAGGGTGTGGGCAAAACTCACCGACTCTTTACAAAAGAGTGTCTCTCTCTCTCGCTCTCTCTCTCCGGGTTATCTCTCCTGCGTGGCAGTAAATGTTTACTAGTAAGTAACCCTATAATATATATATAATGTTATATATATAATATATGTATAATATATGTATAATATATATATGTATATAATATGTATAATATATATAAATATATGTATATAGTATGTATAATATATATAATATGTATATTATATACATATATAATATTATATGTATGTATAATATATATAATATGTATATTATATACATATATAATATTATATGTATGTATATAATATGTATAATAGATACGTATATATACCTATATGGATAAAATAAATCAGATGGTCAAATCCGGTTTTGGTAAATTCAGCTAATTCAATACATACCTTGTCAGGAAGGCATTTCATTGCATTAATACAAAAATGATATAAAAATCGAATACTACCACGAAACATTCCTACTCACTGATTTCCAACAATGGCCAGGGATAGGACAGTGATTGATTAATGTGACACAGACATAAGGGCATAAACATGTAAAGCAATTAGAATTGACTGAATGACATACCCTCAAACTGCAACGTCAAAGAGTGATCATGGACTTTAATGTTTCTCTATTGTAATGTAGTGCCCCTTGCTAAGTGATTTTACATTGACTTTTATTGTGAAGTTTCTGGTTGTGATGAAATCGTTAAAACAAAATGACCAGCGAGGTAAATAAATGTTTGCTCGACTTCTGATCCCCCGCTCTCCCTCTGCCACTTAGGCTTTAATCTTGGTTACTGGCAGGTAGAGAAGGCTAGGCCGTGCCTTGTGACGTGCAAGTGTGTGCTGCCTCTCCTCCTATCTCTCTGTGTGTCTCTCCTCATATTATATAAAGAGTGGCAGCAGGCAGAGTGACAGACTGCCCCAAGAGATGACACCTGTCACAGAGGGGAGTGCTGCTAATCTACAAGCCTCATTTTGTTTGAACTCTTTGTCACCTTGCCGTCAAATCCTCATCTTCTCAGTCACTGCCAGCTTCACTCCGCTCTGCTTCTCTGCTTTGCCCAATCTCTCCACAATATACACTGCCTCCTCCATCACCACACACATAGCACCCTCTTCCAGATAAACCACTGTTATCTGGTGTAACATACTCCTGCCTACAAACATCTAGTGATTGAATGAGTATTGTACATGCTTGTATTTTTTGTCAAAAAAGTAAAACATTGACAGCTAAATGTCTCTTTCAGATGTGTAAAATTGCTTATGTACCCTTAGCATATGAGACGATGATGCGTCCTTGTTCAAACGTTTTTATTTTCCAAACAAAGCCCCATTCATTCATATTGAGATTTGTCTAAGTTAGAGTGATCTGAATAGAAATGCAGTCTGGAGTGGCCCAGTCTCTATGGAGCAGCACACTCCACCCCCTGGCCAAATATCTATATTGTCCACTTCTACAGACTGTGCTTTGTAATTATAATATAATTCATTATGTCTATGCTGCATGTGTCACAAAGGAGGAGTCCTCCCCAAAATCCTCCTGCGCTGTTCAGGCTGACCGAACACATTCTTGTTCCCATTTTAAAGCCTGCGGCTTGGAAATACCCTTTCACACCCCCATAAACAATAGATTTTCCTATTTTGCTTAATTGAGATATCACCCGCAAATCTGACAGCTCACACCAGCCCCAACCTCAGACTGAAGGAACTCTATATAGTGACAGGAAGAGGAATGGAAATAGAGCCAAATAAGATTAAATGACAACAATTCTAATATTATTATGCAGTATCATTATGAAAGTAATTATAACAATAACAATTACATTTGCTGCTAATATGCCTCATCATATACCTCTCAGATTTAATAAAAACCTGACTATTTGTGTGTCTATCGAAGTTATGAAATTGTGGGACGACCTGATAGCCGAGTGGCCCATACCACATGCGCTCAAAAGGCCCTGAGCATCGAGTCCACGGTTCGATTCCCGGACCCCGTTTGCTGCATGTCCTACCCTTTCTCTCTATTCCTGCCCCCCACACCAAAAAATGAAATCATTAATGTAGAAGCTGTGGTAACATTCATGTTAATGTTGAGTTTCCCCCTTAACGGCAGAAAAGGAAAGAAAACACATGATATAATCCAAGTTGTAGAAGCATCAGCCAACTTCTTTAAATGCCTCCATTAAGTGAAATTATCTTTTCCAGACACATTTTGTTTGAATGCATCCAAAAATCCCCATTTCATTTGGATTGCATGGGGTTTAATTTAATCCTTTTGCTTATTAAAAATAAGATGCAGCATCTTTAACAATAGAAAGGCTAGTCTGCGTCGAACACAATGGCTAAGGTTAAATTGAAGGTTGTCCATACCCTTTGCTGTGTTAGAAAAACATTCATATTCAAATAACAGCTGAAAACCCTAGTTCATATTGCATAGCAATGTGCAATTGTGCATTTCTACGCACAAAGCACAGCTGCAATGCAGTTAGTTTTTTTTATATTCAAAATGAACAACACTCTCTACCCGTGTTTTCATTTTGCATTTGCTTAAACATTGAGGGAGCAATCATTTACTCCTATCCAAGTACTTAATGCCTTCATAAGTCCGTACTTTAATATCTACGACTATACTAACAGAGAGAAAACTTAACTGCGGAAAATATTGTGTTAGTCATTTATTAAGTAAATAAAGCGTTAATATAAGGATAGCTATATGGACTCGTGTCTGGAAATAAAAGTTGAATACAGCTAACTCATTCCTGCAGCTATCTATAAATGTGGGTTTTCCGAAGCTGCTTGAAATAGTCCAAAGATTCAGCAAATCTGATAGAATGGGGAAGACGATTCTAGAGGGTTGGGACTAAAACAGGAAAGACGCCATATAACCTTTTGTTTTGTAGTTTGAGAGGGGGATGGGAAAAGAGCCACAATTCTTCACACATTTTCTCTCTAACTGAGAACATATCCACACCACTAGTACAGTCTTAAAGTCACTCTCTTCCCACAATGTACATTTTGTTAAGGGGGTCATGTTGAAAACAAGATCAACCGTGTTCATCCAAAGAATCTTAACACCGTCCAGTAGAATTAGAGCCTGGTTTTTGTCAGATGAGTTCCCAGATATTTAAGAAGGTAAGATAGTTATGAGGAAGCAGAACCTCTATTTGAACTGCTACTTCATCATCAACATACCAATTCATGACAAAATGACAGAAACGTCTGCAAAAGTACTAATTTTAGGACCAAGAATATCTTTAACATTGACATCATCATTTTTGGATAAGACTTGTTGGTCTTTAAAGTGTAACTTTATTATATGTACAGCGTACTTATAGCTCTTTTTACTTTTTTTTTTATCAATTTCAACACATTATCAATCAATATGAATCATGGTTAACAAATGCAATCTGTGGATACTGACAGTGATAACTCGCATTTATAATTTCAAACATGTTTGCCCATCAAACAGCAGAATGGAAAGTGTTTGTAGCCAGTGTGCAAAGCACAATTGAGGATCAAACATTTTCCATCAGTTTTCTCAGTTACATAGAAAGAATGACTTCAGAGTAAAGAAAAGTACCGGCATGATGGTTTAGAAGAGTGCAAAGATTGCACAAAGATAGTTTTGACATCTGGTTGTCTCAAGCAACATGTGCAAATGCCAATTAAAATGATATCGTCAGACCAGGTTTCTCTGGGACTCCTTTTGACATAATTTGTTCTCCCGTTGTAGTAGCGAAGCCAACAGGATCACAGAGCTAGTTACTCAAATAACCAGCAACGGAACTTCAACTTCAGACAGAAATGGCTGTGAAAAGTGCCAGTGTCAATATTCAGAGTCAAGCTTCAGCCCATCACTTGTAACCTTAAGACATTTTAGGAGCTTAGCTTCTTCTTCACTCTGTTCAGCTATATGATGCCATGAATAGTTACAGAGATCCTCATTTCTAAAGGCTTATAGTCTCACTCACCTATAGACTGATCTATCACAAAGGGAAAGTATCTTGATTGGCTTAAACCAGTTTACTGACACGATACATGACACATTTGACTCAAGATAGTGATACAAAGTAAATGTATTACAACCATAGCCTTTTAAAGCTTCTGCCAAGAA